TTGTTGAGGATCCGTGTCCTCGCTTTTCCGGTTGAAATCGATCTTATGAAAGGCACTTGTTATTCAGAGGGCCCATAAAAAATGGAATTGATGTGACTTTAAAAACAAAACGAAATTTATTTTGTGATGACTTTTGCTAGAATCCTCTTCAAAATGCCATAGACAAATTCCTCTCGCGAAACCGAAAGCGGAATTTTTTTAGGTAAAAAAATTAGCTTTCTCCAGCGCACAGGCTAACTGTAATTGTTCATTCAACTGTGCTAACACATAATCAAAAAGGATAATTGGTATTTTTTCTATTGTAGCCAAAACGTCCCCAAACCATACATAGATGTAAACGAATTTTTTTCCGCCACTGTCCAGCTTCCCGTTTTTTCTATAAAAAAACAAAACGCAGCAGTATTTTGGAAGTTTTTATAACAGCAAGCGCCAAGCCAGCGGGATGCCAAAATTTTCAGCTTATGATGCCGCTTTGATCCAGACGTAACTCACGTACGCCTTACCAAAATGTGTGGATGAAGACATAAGCACGATTCTGAATTAAATCGTCGTAAGCTTTCACGGAAAATGACCAAAATGACCATAATGAAACAGAAGAAGACCTAACTTATGCTTTGAAATGGTTCTCGATTTGAATAGGTTCGGGGAAATAATAGAGTAGGCGATAAGGGATAAGTCTAGCACCTTGTGCAAAAAGACATGTGTGGATGCAGTATGCGTATTTCATGCCCGTGCTGTAAACGTGAACTAAAAAATTTTTAATTGTGACTTAATTGTGACAAATTTTAAAGCGGCTCAGCCTCTCTAATATAACTTAGAAAGCAAAATTTTTTATTAACAGAATACAGAATAGCGATGGCACGAGTGTAACAGATATACGCGCAATGTTCAAAAAAAGTAGCAGGCCACACTACGATTTGAACTCCCTGTGATCACAAAGCGTCGTCGCTCTTATAACATCTGCAACCAATTTGATACTGAGGTTCAGAGCTGGAAAAATCGCCAACTGGGACAATTTGCTGCTTCCAAAACAAGAATGGCAATGTCTGAATGATAAAACAAAGCCTCATTTTTTTTAGCTAAATTTGGCTCTCATCAGACACAAATTCATCATTAGTCGTCTTAATTTTCACTCTACGCCAACAGTTTTAAAGCGCTCTCACCTGCCAGTACATGTCATTTATAAATACAAATAATTAGCAGTGAATATTTTTAACGACCAGTTCTCGCTCCTCGGGCGTTGCCCATTCGTTTGCATATCTGTGGCAGAAAGAGCACGTCGGCACAATCTTCAGATTTTCCTCTTTTGCAAATTTAAACACTTCCTTGCAGAGCTGCCTTGCGAAACCCTTGCGACGTAAATCAGGCGGTACTTCGGTATGCCTCAGTTCCAGTATGTTGTTCGGT